TCTACATGTTTTTCCTTCTCTAGAAGTCCAGAGGGCGAGGTTAATCAGACACAAAATAGTAACTCCTTTTCCAAAGCCTTGGGGAATGTCATGAGGGAAACATTCTTGTGGGGCTTTGGGGTTTTTTTTAGGCTTCCTGTGGAACTGGCTTACCAAGGCTCGTGGAACAGACAAATACCATTTGGAAATATGGAAAGAATATAATTCTAGCTATTTTGGATACTGTCTGTTATAGACCACCCAAGGTAGAAACTGTGTGGCTGTCAGCACATTCAGCTCTCTTGAGTTTTTGTAATCAGAAAAGAAAATTAAACAGTTATAATGTCCATCAATTGGTGAATGGATAAACAAAATATGGTGTATCTATATGATGGGAATATAAAAACTGACAAATGCTCTAACGTGGATGAACCTTAAAACATTATGTTAAGTAAAAGAAGCCAGATGCAGGCCCGGCGCGATGACTTACGCCTGTAATCCCAGCACTTTGGAAGGCCGAGGTGGGTGGATCACCTGAGGTCAGGAGTTCAAGACCAGCCTGGCCAATGTGGTGAAACTCCATCTCTACTAAAAACACAAAATTAGCCAGGTGTGGTGGCATGCACCTATAATCCCAGCTACTTGGGAGACTGATGCAGGAGAATCACTTGAACCCAGAAGGCAGAAGTTGCAGTGAGCTGGGATCACGCCACTGCACTGCAGCCTGGACGACAAAGTGAGACTCTGTCTCAAAACAAACAAACAAACAAAACCAGATGCAAAAAACTATATACAGATGCTCCTCAACTTACCCTGATAAACCCACCATAAGTTGAAAATAAATGCATTTAATACATCTAACCTACTGAACATCATAGCTCAGCCTAGCCTACCTTAAATGCTCAGAACACTTGAACACTTACATTAGCCTATAGTTGGGCAAAATCACCTAACACACAGCCTATTTTATAATAAGGTGTTGAGTATCTTATGTAATTTATTGAATACTGTACTGAAAGTGAAAAACAGAATGGATGTATGGGTACTTGAAGTACAGTTTCTACTGAATGTCTGTTGCTTTCACACTATGGTGAAGGTGAAAAATTGTAAGTAAAACCATCGCAAGTTGGGGACCATCTGTATTGCATGATTCTATTTATGTGAAATATCCAGAAAAGGCAAATCTGTCGAAACAGAAAGCAGATCAGTGGTTGCCTGGGAGTGGGTTTGGGGCTTGATTGTAAATGAGCACAAGGAATCTTTTTAGGATGATAGAAATACTTTCTAAATCTAGAATTTGCTAAATTTACTAAATATCATTAAATTGTTCACTTAATTTTATGGAATTACACCTCAGTAAAACTGTTTTAAAAACCAGAAAGATTACCATTGCATTTTCTCTAATGTTAGATCATTCGTGATTTTCCTTTCTGGTCACCAGTGACTGTGGCATACAGGGATGAGCAGAGAGAATGGACCACTTCTCAGGCTTCCTTTGGGTGAAGAGCTCTGTAGTGGGTTCTGAGGAGGCTACAGGTAGAATGGCCACATTTTCTCAGCCAAAAAGGGAAGTACAGAGTTGGGCAGTATCCTAGGTGCACTCATTTTCTCATTTATTGTTTATTTTATTTTATTTGTTATTTATTTATTTTGAGATGGAGTCTTGCTCTGTCACCCAGGCTGGAGTGCTGTGTCGCAGTCTCGGCTCACTGCAACCTCCGCCTCCCGGGTTCAAGTGATTCTCCTGCCTCAGCCTCCCGAGTATCTGGGACTACAGGTGCCCACCACCATACCTGGCTAATTTTTTGTATTTTTAGTAGAGTCGGGGTTTCACCATGTTAGCCGGGCTGATCTCGATCTCTTGACCTTGTGATCTGCCTGCCTAAGCCTCCCAAAGTGCTGGGATTACAGGAGTGAACCACCGTGCCCGGCCTCATTTTCTCATTTAATCTTCAATTAATTCTCATAACAATCCTACAGGAAAGGTACAGTAGGACATATGCTCATTTTAAAGAAGAAAACCGGGGCTCAGAGAGATTGAATCCTGTAAAATCTCAAAGTGTATAAATAATGGAGTGTAGAGATTTAACCACAAGTTTTTCTGGCTCCAAAAATGAGAGATCTTTGTTATAAAAATGCTGCCTCCTAAGAGGAAGTATATTTATTGGAGGAACACTAGTCTCTGACAAATGAAAAAAAATGTTTTAGGGAACAATGGCCATTCTGATCAGTAAACGACTAAATGACCATGGTAGGTAGAGAATACAACAGGACTGGCTCTGTTTGTCTGCACTGGGATTGGGCTGGTAGGTTATGGAGGGTGCTGATGTGAACATGCCTACTTTTTGCAGTGGATGACCCCGATCCTCTGGCTACGCTGAATTGTTAGTTCCTCTCCTCTTGTTTTTTCTTGGTGTGGTTAAAAAAAAAATGCATCATGGAATATTTGACATCCCAGAAAAATAAAGAATACTCAAATGCCTACCAGCTAGCTTAATAAATAAAACAGGATGGCTATACAAGTAAGCCAAGTTACAACAGTGTTAGAAAACTGGACCCTGAGTCGGAAAACCTAGATTCAAATCCCATCTCCAGTGTTTATTACCTTGGACAAGTCATAAAACCTTTCTGAGCTTCTGTTTCCCCTTATGTGAAAGAGGGATAATCCTACTCACTTCCCATGTTGTAAGGATTAAATGAGATCATGCACATAAAGAGCTTAGCCTGATACACACTGGTTAATAATAGCTCTTATTGTTATAAACTGTATGACTTGATAACTGTAAAAGGCACTAAAAATAAATCTTACATAGATTTCATCTATCCCCATAATTAACAGTACTTTCTCCCTTCAGTGAATTCAGTTTTGAGGGGAAATTGTTTTCTTAACTTAATAGGCACTAACTTGTGTGTCAGCCCTTGCTTGGCTTACCTTGATTCTGTCCCTAGCTCTTGTCACTGCCCAGTTGGGTGACTATAGATATGTCACTTCACCTTGTGGGCCTTTGTTTTCCCATAAGTAAAGTGAGTAGCTAGCTGAATTATTTCATCCAAGCCTCACACTCTGTGATTCTCATGTACCACTGAGAACATTTGGAATCAGAAGTAGAACATGCTACAGGTGTGTGCCTCTCCTTTGGTTTCCTTAGTGTGGAGAAGGAAGCATGGCTGAAGGATTAAAGCTGAATTACCAAAAGAGACTGAAGGGCTGGCCCACCCGTTGGGCGTTTCTCTGCTTAACACATCACACAGAGTGGTTTATACGCAGTGACTTTGCATCCTGACTTGCCACATCAGTCCTGGCTACCAACTGTGGTCTGGTATAATTAAGAGCTCCCCACTCCCTGACTTTCATTCTCAAAAGAATCATAGTTAACACAATAGATTAAAAGGTCACCATAGTAAAAACTGTCATTTATAAGGTATGAAGCTGGAACTGTATGAGACTTTCATTCAGGATTCTGGGGTTATAGTCATATAATAACCAAGACGAGTGAAGGACTTCACTGTTTAAAGTGCGCTTTTGCCTAAATGCTCCCATTTGTTCTGCAAAACAACCTTGTGCAATGGGGCAAAGTGGTGTCCGTATTGCCTTTCTACTGAGGCCCAGAGAGATTAAGTGACTTGCCTGGGGTTGCACAACTAGTAAGCGATAAGAATACAGATTGGAACTCATGGCTTAGGTTTTCCAAATGCTGTGCTCCTGTCTGCTTTGTCCTGTGATAGAATCTGCTAGCTCCCAGAGTAGGGTGTGAAGGCTGGATTCTAGAAGTTTGTATTGTCAGTTTCTTCAGAGCCCGGAGAATGGGATGCTCCAAAAGGAAGTAATTCAGCCTGACCTAATCAGCAGATCACGTCGAGCCAAGGCACTGGCAGGGCACACTTCCTCTTCTGCATGGAATGGGGCTTGCTTCTGAAAGGACTCCATTCATACTTTCTGCCCCTCAACTAAGCCTTGGAGGAAACTCTTGTTCCTTCACTAGCAGCCTCTTTCCCAGCCCGGGGCTAACCTGTAAGTGTACATTACCTACCCTTCTAACAAGGCCTTTGAAGCTTTCTTGCTTCACATCTGTCTTTCCTCCCTTGCCAGTTAAGAAAAACCCATTCTAGAGTGATAGGAAAGCAGAGAGTGCTGAGTATGTTTGCCCCCAAGGTTCCTTCTCCTCTGTCCCTCATGCTTAGTGGCCCCCGAACTTCACTCTTAGGGTCTGCTCAGACTCTGGCCATCTGCATCTAGTGTTAACTGCATAGAAAGGAGGGATCTCCCAAGGAGAAGCCCCTCGTGAGCCATGGCCTTTGCCTGTGAATAAATATTTTATTCTCCTCTGCAACTCTTTATGCATGCCTTGAGGCAAATGTATTTTAACGTTGAAAAATACTGTCTGGAATAAAAACAAACATTTATTCCCACTCTGTTCTAATTTCTTTTAATGTAGGGAATATTTTGTATGAGTCAATTATGGAAGCAAGTCCTTCTAGCCTGTCCTATACCCACCCCAAATTAGAGTTATTTGTTCAGCAGATGAGGGACACAGAGCCACATATTTGAGAGTAGAACGACTGGGGAAAGCAGAGCACGCAGATCATGGAATGGGACAGCAGCCACTTGGCACACTCATTGTGGCTTGAAGCTTAGAACATGGACTTGGCAGAAGCCAAGTGCACTGTGAAGACCCATGAGCTTCCCCCAGTGCCAGAGTTCCTCCATCCCCTGCCTGTAGAACAAGCACAGTCTTGCTCGAGACGCTTGCTTTTTCAGCGGTGTCCTTACTGAGAATTTCCTCTTGGCACCTACCAGACATCTAGTTGCAACTTGCCTCCTGTATCCACTCTAATTCTAATGGCGAGAATAAGCTAATTTCTTTGTGGTATAGGCTGATTTTAATTGACTGTGATACCAATGAAGTGTTCAGGAAGCCTGTCATATCCTAAAGAAATCAAACTCACGTGCAGGCTGAAACAGCCCGTTGAACAGGAAGAAGAGCTCCCCATCTGACCAGAGTCTCTTTATTGTCTTGCAGAGATCAGGAATGGAAACCTCAAGGCCATTCTAGGCCTCTTCTTCAGCCTCTCCCGATACAAGCAGCAGCAGCAGCAGCCCCAGAAGCAGCACCTCTCCTCACCTCTGCCGCCCGCCGTGTCCCAGGTGGCCGGGGCCCCCTCCCAGTGCCAGGCTGGCACCCCTCAGCAGCAGGTGCCAGCCGCTCCCCAAGCCCTGTGCCAGCCTCACCAGCCAGCGCCACATCAGCAGTCAAAAGCACAAGCTGAAATGCAGTCCAGGTGGGGGCTCCTTGCCAACTGATGGTTCTGTTTCTCAGGCATCTTCCTCCACACCAACCAGTCTCTAGGCTATCCTGTATGGGTTTTTCATTTGTGCTTCTTCAATGCTGAGAGCTACTGGTGGTTAGTGGGAAATTAGCATGGCCTTGAAATGGATACAGTGAGGAGCCCTTCTTGTGTCTGGCGGAGATGTATACTTTTATAGGTCAGAATTGCCAGCAGCCAAAGCTAATTAGCTGCTCCTGCTATTACTCTGGCCTATTACACACATGCTTGTAGGCAATAAACAGCCCCTAAAATAGACTTCAAACCCCTTTTGTGTGTCTGCCTACAAGCTGAATGTTCAGTGTTATACATGAGAGTAGTTTTACTTAGTGGAGGTAAAAGTTCTATTCCAGTGGATGCCTCTGCTTTGCCAGAACAGAAATATAGAGGGCACTGAAGAAAGGTGGCAAGGGAAGGAGGCAGCCATCCCTGAGTGGGGCAGCATCGCCTAATGGGAGCAATTACCATTAAATGTGACTGTTGTGTTGAACTGCCATGAGGAGATTCCCACAATGCAGGAGTGATCGGCAGGGTTAGGGCCTGGATTTTGTTCCCAGGGGGACTGACGTTTGCCAGTCATACTCACCAGGTACAAGCCAATTGTCACTGTAGTTACCATCTACTGTGCTACAATGGAAATAACATCACTTTGTAAAACTTTTGTCTTAATGGCAGAAAAAAAAGGAAGACTTTAGAAACTAGAGAGTTCTTGACTCGAGGTCAAGTTCTACAGAAAAGTTCATACTGTTTTCTTTTAAGCCACAAGACTTCAGCTATAAGCCCTAAATGTCACTGATCAGATTGATTGCTTGATTTCATCCAGTGTGTGCTGAAGTGTAATGGCCTTTCCTTTTCATTCCCCCAAAGCACCAGCATTAATAATCATAAGGCTTCTCACACACCTTGATGTACCTTTTATTACCCATTGTAGTTAGGCAGAGCACAAAGCTGCTCAAACACCGCTGCTGCCTTATAGACAGTTACAGCCTTCTTTTTTCCCCATGAGAAGTGCTATTTCCCAATTGTGATGGTGTTAAAACCAGCAGTGATGGGTGTAATGTAAATCAGGCCCCGTAATTAATTATCTAATTATATCCAGTTTGCATTATGGAAATTTGTGGGGTGGGAGAGATGCCTGGACTAGCAATGAGGAACAGACAGCCTAGCAGCCAGTTGCCGAACCCTTTCCCTGGAGAACTGCCTGAGTGGGAGTCACTCCCAGTCAGAGCTTCCCTGATGGACATGGATGATTTAAATGATCAGGGCGTCATTTCCCAGACTGCATTCTGCTGAGTGCTTATTCCCTGGGATGTTAACTTGGGTCATATTGCAGGAGATGAGTTCTGTTGGGGGGGAAATATTGGGAGATAATTTGGGTTAAATTGTTATATGGCTGTCATTGTAGGTCTACTCAGATCCTTGAACCTGCCAATATGCATTTGTTTATTTAATTGATATTAAGCCTCCCATGTGCCACACACTGGTCTAGGCACTTGGGAGTCAAAAATGAATGAGATTGCCAAGGTGCCTGCTCTCCTATGCTCCTGGAGGAGGCAGGCAAACAAGCACATGAACAGGGAAGGAAGCTGTCAGATAGTGGTGAGTATTATAATAAGACGATGGGATTCAGAGGGGCTGGGTTGCTAATTTAGGTTTGGTTGATAGAAAGGTCTCTCTCAGCACATGAATGGTAAGCTTGGTATGTTGGAAGAGCATAAACAAGGTTATTACAGCTTAGTAGGGGAGGAGAGGGACCAGTGATAAGGTGGTTTGGAAGGAGAGAGGGCCGCTACCATTTATGTGGATGACAGTGTGACCTGTGGTCCCTGGAGTTGTGCATTGCTGTGGTACTCCGGCCCCGTCATAGAGTACCAGTTAAACTGGATAGGGTTTGGACTCCATTCTAAGGGTGACAGGAAGCCATGGGAAAGTCTTAAAGTAGTAGGAAGACTTGATCTGATTGGCAGGTCAAAAAATCCACCTTTGCTCCTCTTTGGAGAATGAGATTGTGGAGGAACAAGAATGGAAGGAAGGACCCCAGTTGAGAGGACTTTGCAATCCTATAGATAAGTTGGGTCAAGGTAATACAAGCAGAAATGGAGATGGACCAATTCTGAATCCTTAGGCAGTTGAACCAAGAGGCATGCAAACAGATTAACTCTCTGGAGTGACGGAAAGAGAGGAATCACAGATAAAGCCTAGATTCCTGGTTTGAAAAGTTAAGTAAAGTAAGTGGTGGTATTATTCTTTGAGATGAGGAAGCCGGGGAGAGCAGGTATGCATTATAAATGTTCAGACAGGCGGTGACACAGAAAGGAGCATTCTACAAACTTGGCCACAGCACTCTTCTTATTTTATAGAGCATCTCACTGCATAGGGTTCCAAGGAACATGCATTGGGAAATACTGGTTTATGCCACTGAGCTTTGCTAGCTGGAGGCATCCATTTCCATGGTAGGCATTTGTTTTCTTAAAATAACCAGATATTCCAGTCAGAGCACCCATCTCCTAGTACGCCAAGACATCCTACTACTAACGAGTGCTTTACCTAAAGAAGAGCCAAACTTACTCGAGTCAGGTTTTTACATTCATTTATTCCAGCTACAAAGTGTCCTGACATAATGGCCCACCACCTACAGTGGTGACATGGACTGGGCTTTGGAGTTGCTGTATGTTCTTACCCCTTCATCTTGCCAAGGTTGGGTTACTTCTGCAGAAGGCTGGTTTTTTTTTTTTTTTTTTTTTTTTTTTTTTTTTTTTTTTGAGACGGAGTCTCGCTCTGCCGCCCAGGCTGGAGTGCAGTGGCCGGATCTCAGCTCACTGCAAGCTCCACCTCCCGGGTTCCCACCATTCTCCTGCCTCAGCCTCCTGAGTAGCTGGGACTACAGGCGCCTGCCACCATGCCCAGCTAATTTTTTTGTATTTTTAGTAGAAATGGGGTTTCACCATGTTAACCAGGATGGTCTCGATCTCCTGAGCTCGTGATCTGCCCATCTCGGCCTCCCAAAGTGCTGGGATTACAGGCGTGAGCCACCACGCCCAGCCAGAAGGCTGGTTTTATTCACTATATCCTGATACTTTCTAATTTTATTTCCAAAGGATAATCTTGTTCTCAAGGTCTAGGGATATGCTATCCCATGCTAACACTCTGGCTATAAATTTAAGAATGATAAAATTACATCAGTGTCTCAGTCTCCAAATTCTGTATTTGATAACCAAAATTCCAAGGGTAGTGGTTTGGACCCTTGATTATGAATGTCAAATGTTGATGCAAACCCCCCACATGCCAGGTTTGTTTTGTTTTTTCCGTTAGAACTCTGCCTAAAAACAATTTTGAAGCTACCTAGTTTCAGCACCCCTCGGGGGTAGCAAATACTAAAGCTTGGACAACTTTCCGTGAAGTTTGCTAGTAAAGAAGCTATGGAAGTTGGCAAAGAAAATCTGAGAATTTGTTTGCTCCACTGGCATGAAGGAATCAAAGCAAATCCTCCATAACAGCCTCAGAGAGGCTCACTTTGCCTCCTCACCTTAGCTCATCTCACAACTGACATGGTGGCCAATAACTTAATCCACATTTCAGCCTGTGAAATTCCACCCAGTCTAGAGTCCAGGAGAGGAGCATAGTCTCCAGGAGTTGCTTTTTTTCCCCATCTGTGTCTACACAGATAATCAGTATTCAGTTGTTAAGGAATAACCCAGAAAATGACTTTATATTTTTCTCCATTCTCCTCTGTCTCTTCACTGCCTAAGACTAGTAAAACCAGTAAATTATTTCTTACCTCAGATCCTTTTATGAATGTGGTAGAGGATGTATGGATGCAAGAAAGATAAATATTTATTTCACAAAGCAGTAAATAAGTTTAACTTTTTCTTTTATAAAGCCTAACTAAAATTCTTCATGTCTACCAATTTGTAGTACAAGAAAAACAATTTAGTGAGTTTGACAAGCATTAAACGGTCATTTCTATAGCATTAAAAGCAAAAATTTCCAAGATCAGCAACATCTGGGTATAGATTTGCAAACATCTATGCCCTTGTTTTGGGTCACCTTTATGGGATCCTGAGGACATTCATCTGAAAATCACCCCAGTAGAACAAGCATGTGAAATAGAAACATCTCAATACTTTAGAAAGGCATAAAGTTGGTTTACTTGTCAAGGACCCCGTATTTTGAGAATAAGGCCTTAAGAAAGACATTTGATGTTTAAAGAAACACACACATGGATGCATACACACAAGCATTCTTAGATAATCTTAACAGCAGTTTCTTCACATTGGAAATCTATCAAATCAGTAAAGTGAGACCTAGAAATAAAGCTGCGTGTCATAGAAAACAGTGAGCAGGGGGAAAGAAAGCAACATCCCCATTGTTAGAAGACTCTTTGGATTTGTGTGTCTAATGTATCTTCTCTCTCCTCACTCAGCTCTTCTACTTTTTTCTTTCCTATCATGCAGTGCATCATCCAAGGACTCATCTCAAAGCAAAATCATCCGCTTCACTCTGGGTCAGAAAAAGATCTCTAGGTTAGACTTTCTCTGTGTCCTGCAAAGCATGGTTTAATCCCAACCCACTGTTCCATTGTTCCCTCTGCTCTGGCTGAGTTTCCCTTTGGTCCTCTCCCCGTTTCATGTTTGCAGTTCAAGAAAACTAAACGTGCTTTGGCTAATGGTCCCATGGTGCAGAGCTTTGAAAGTGGCCATGGGATTGTTGCAAGTGTGTGCGGGGGGAGTGACAGAGTGCAAGTGAGATTGAGGCGTACATGACGTTTCACATTTTCTTGACTTTTGGCTTTGACTGCTTTGTCATCAGAATCCATTCTGATTTAGGTAAAGGTGAGTTTCTACATAGTTTTTATAGTGGTTTTATGATGAGTTTGCTCCCTGCTTTGTCCTGGCCCTAATCCCACCTCACCTGCATCTCATTTATGTGTGTTGTGCTTTGTGGTGTTGTTAAAA